GCGCCTGGCGATGGCTGTGCTCTTCTTGAAGAGCCACTTGAATCGCCTCTTCAAGGGTGCTGGCCTGCACCCGGAACAGCTGAGTGCGTGCGGGGCCCACTCGAAGGCCGTCCATGAACACAGTCTTCTCGATGTGTTCATTGAGTGGGTTTCCCACTAGGGACGCCGTGAGCTCCCGTATCTCTTGCACATACTCGTGCAGGTCGCGCCTTCCTTGTTTGCACGCGAGGAAGCGCGAACGCTGGCGGTACTCGTAGTTCGCCGGGAGGAACGCGGCTCGGAGCTGTTCGCACAGCTGAGCCCAGGATGTGAAACATCCAGGGGATGTTGCTTCCCGAGTGTACACCCAACTCTTAGCACGACCGCTAAGGTTGGAGAGTGCAAAAGCAACACGCCGTTGCTCGGTCGAGATCAGAGCCGCGTCCATCGCGAGCTCTACTTCTCGGACCCAGAAGTGAAGGTTCTCGCCTTCCTTCCCTTCATACGGCTTTACCTTCAGCCGTATTGGCTTCGGGTGAGGCGGATTTGCTTCCGCCGCCGGAGCCTGCAGGTTCTCCCGCACATGCGCGATGAGGCCCTGCTCGTACGCGTCGAATGCATTGACGCGCTCGAGCTGCTCAGCCGGTGTTGACACCACCAGGCTCTGCAGGGCCTCCATCCCGAAGATGCCTGCCATCTTCCGAACCGACTTGAACTGAGAGTCGTTCAAATGGGAGAAGTCGTTCCTATCCATGACAACGAACTTCGGAGGTTCAGGTAGTCTACCCGCGATGGCGTGGATTGACTACGAGTGCTACCAAGTGTGACGGGGTCACACAGCACCTTGCGCTAGAGGAAGTTATCTTCAGAGAGTATACAAAGCGGCAGTTCACAGGTCCCCTCTTTTATTAAGTGACCCAAATAAGGTAGATTGTAAACTGAGTATATTTATAGGTAGATTAAGTTTGGGTTTAATACAAACTGTTAGTTACCTATAGAAATGCAATGTCATTTAACCAATGGTTGGCTTTGAACGACCTTGGTACCTTGTACCAAATATCTCGGAGTATGACGTGTCATACTTCTGAAGTGTGAAGTGTCACACTTCATGTAACCAGGGTACACTTAGGGCTACGTACCCCGTTACAGTGCTCCATCAGAAAAAGGCTGGATTTGAAGACGCAAAGAAGGTCGAATCAAAATTTAACCCAGAGCTGAATTTTGAAACCAGTCGTTTGGAGCTACTGCTGGATGTCATTTTTTGTGTTTCTTAGCGGAATAAAGCTGGTTGAGACATTCCAGATCTGTAATAACAATTACAGCTGGTTTTAGCTTAGATCGAACACGGCCTTAAAAGCTTACTCAATACATTTGTAATGAGATAGAGGGCAGAGTGATCCAGATCGAGTGTGGGTTCACAGGGCGCATACGCGATATCGGTCGAAGACAAAGCACGAAAACGGCGACTAATAATTCAACCTCTGTGCACGAATTTACAAATTTAATGTGTTCATTGGGCAGTGCTTTGACGACGGGCTAGCGCAAATAATACATCGAAGAGTCTGTACCGAAATCTCAAGGGGGGCTTCAGCGCATTTCATTCTGTTAAATTGGCTTAGATCGCTCATCTTACTTTCGTTTTCGTGACGTATTCCAGAATACCTAGATCTTCGGAACGAAGCTACCGTCT